TACTGCGTTCTCGACACTGGGGTCGGGAAGATACGCAGAGGCCACAATCACAGGAGCATTCCCACTACCGAAGACCACCACACAGAATCGTTCGTACTGACAGTGATTCACGCACACATGTACTCCACTCTTTATTAAATAATTACCCTGTGACGTACCCAACCCATTTGTATCATGGGACACGAGGAGCTGGCCGAAACTTGCATTGACAATCAAATTGCAGGATCCGTTGTTTGATATGTAAGCTACTTGGGACACGCGCCTATGGCATGATGCGCAGGAGAACCATACAAGAAAGAGGGGCGACAGCTACAGGCTCGAAGAGGACATGGGGAGTCGGGAACGAGGAGCAGGAGAAAGACGTGCGGGAAGCCCACTGTGCTGGGCCCCTCGGCAGGCCTCGAAAGTGGCGACAATTTCACAGAACGCAGCCCCCCCAGGGATGGCGAGGTCTAATTTGAATCTGCGTGTGGCGCCACTGTGCTGGGCCCCTCGGCAGGCATCGAAAAGTGGCAACTGTTTCACAGATCGCAGCCCCCCAGGGGCGGCGAGGTCCAATTTGAACCTGCGGTGAGTACCCACTGTGCTGCCCCCCCCCCCAGCAGGCCTCGAAAGTGCGACAGTGTCACAGATCGCAGCCCCCCAGGGATGGCGAAGTCTAATTTGATTCCGCGGTGAGTACCAATTGTGCTGGCCCCCCCAGCAGGCCCCGAATGCGGCGACAGTTTCACAGATCGCAGCCCCCCAGGGATGGCGAGGTCTAATTTGAGCCCGCGTTGAGTACCCACTGTGCTGGGCCCCCCAGCAGGCCTCCAAAGTGGCGACAGTTTCACAGATCGCAGCCCCCCAGGGATGGCGAGGTCGAATTTGATTCCGCGGTGGGTACCCACTGTGCTGGGTCCCCCAGCAGGCCCCGAAAGTGGCAACCGTTTCACAGATCGCAGCCCCCCAGGGATGGCGAGGTCTAATTTGAGTCCGCGGTGAGTACCCACTGTGCTGGGCCCCCCAGCAGGCCTCGAAAGTGGCGACAGTTTCACAGATCGCAGCCCCCCAGGGATGGCGAGGTCTAATTTGAGTCCGCGGTGAGTGCCCACTGTGCTGGGCCCCCCAGCAGGCCTCGAAAGTGGCGACATTTTCACCGCCCCCAGCGAGGTCCTTGGCGTCAGTTTCACAGATCGCAGCCCCCCAGGGATGGCGATGTCGAATTCGAAACCGCGGTGAGTACCCGCTGTGCTGGGCCCCCCAGCAGGCCTCGAAAGTGGCGACAGTTCCACAGATCGCAGCCCCCCGGGGATGGCGAGGTCTAGTTTGAATCTACGGTGAGTGCCCACTGTGCTGGGTCCCCCAGCAGGCCTCCAAAGTGGCGACAGTTCCACAGACCGCAGCCCCCCAGGGATGGCGAGGTCAAATTTGAATCCGCGGTGAGTACCCACTGTGCTGGGCCCCCCAGCAGGCCTCGAAAGTGGCGACGGTTTCGCAGATCGCAGCCGCCCAGGGATGGCGAGGTCGAATTTGAATCCGCGGTGAATACCCACTGTGCTGGGCCCCCTAGCAGGCCTCGAAAGTGGCGACAGTTTCGCAGATCGCCGCCTCCCAGGGATGGCGACGAGCGAAGCAAAAAGCAAGGGGAAGAGAGGAGGGGGAGGACGCAAGGAGACGCGCGAGCAGTGCTCTATTCAAAACGAGAACCCAACGCAGGAGGGCTGGGCATAACCCACACTTACCGCCACCACTCACACGATATGATAAACCACAGCGCCTGAAATATGCATCGAATTTGCCTCCGAAGAGATTCTGGCATTCCTGAACACCCCAGATGCTATCCCGCATGCAGAGGCTCCTCAGGACCTCGTTCCCCTTGAAATTGACCGACCCCGCGCGATTGAGGTTCCAGCTGCCCAGTCGGATCCTCTTGAACGTTGTACGGCGTCGTCGCCGTCGCATCTTCCTGCTGACTTCCATCTCGATATCAGCCTTAGTTTTTGTAAAAGCAGGAATTAGCTGATGTAATCTCTCGACACTCTCATGCGATACCTCCCACGTCGCCCGTGTCGTGGTGAACCCGGCCAGGAGAAGAGGCCTTTGACCAGCAACAGTGGGCACAGTCCCTATAGAAGATCTAGGCGGCCCCATTTCCCCTCTAACAGCGATGGCATCGATACCAATATGTGTACACATGCTCCGAAGCGTGCCGCTGAAGCGCCCGACTGCCTTGACGTGGTCCCTCTTCCACGCTGGGCACTCGACACTGACTTTGAGCAGCTCAGGATTGAAATTATGTGTCATATTCTCGATGAGGCACTGTGGTGACGCAATCTGGATACCTGGAGGAGGCGCAGGACGTCTGGCGAGGGGTACCGTCACGAGGGCGATGCAGCGCTTGGCACACCATATGATATCCCTGTCCGTCCATGGCATGAATTTCAATTTAGCCGATCCGAACATGTAGCGACCAGCGTTGATCCACTTCGTACCGTCAACACACGCATGCACACGATCATCCTATGAGAGACAGTGGTTTGTGATATTATCGATGAGCATCTTCACATCTTCCCACATGAGCATCTCCTGAGACCTACGATCCCTGTCATTCCAGTCGGTGGCCCATCCCTTGAGTTCGAAATATGAGGGAGAAAAAAAAAGTACCTCCAGGAGCCTGATATGTACCCGTTCCAGTCTTAGCAGGCCTCGTAGAAGCGTCACTCGCCACAGAACCTGCTCGAACCTGTCCCTGGAGTCCCTGGACGATAATCTCAAGTTGGTTTTGATTGGCCTCCAAGCTGGAACTCGCAACACCCTGCTTCTGAACCTGGGCCTGAACATTGTCGATTTTCGTTCCCTGAGCTCCTATGGATTCCTGGATCCTCTCAGTATTGTCATCCACGTTGTGCATCCTCTGAAATAGTAATCACTGCACGTCATCCTCCCCCTCCAAGGCAGCCTTCCTCTCAGCCAGCACTTCCCTGCGATTTCGCTTCGCAGTGGGGGGGGGGCCTCCGTCAACAGTCATGTCATCAGCATGTTCTGGCACCGCGTCGAGACACTCAGGACCGCACCCCCACGAGTGCAACCACTGTCGAGTCACCGTACGTTCACTGAGTGGCACAGTAGGCGGCAATTGAACGTGATCCCTGGGCGGGCGCCTTCCGTCGATGTAACGTTTGAGATGCGTCGCGAAAGGGAAACCTGTCTCTGCATCCGTCGTTGTCAAGAACAAGCAAGTGACACAGCTGTCCGAATACTTATCGATGAACAGGTACGTCGATACAATCCAAAGAAAGAATGAAACCTGTCTCTGAATCCGTCTCACAGGACAAGCACGTGACACAATACAAGCACACAACAACAAAGAGAGGCGGCGGCGGCGGCTGTCGGTGGAGCTCCCCCCGAAGAGGATGTGCTCGCTATGGCGCGCTGGCGCCACGGAGCCACCGACGGTGCCCCGCACACCTGACCTAGTCGACTGACTTGGGCCGAGTCCTTGAGCCTGGGCCCTCGGGGGCCCTCGTAGAGCTCTTGACACCGCGAAGTAGCGCTCAGACTACGACCAGAATATCAGCTTCAAAACTCGAGGACTCTATTGATGTCATGCGAAGTTGGATCCGCCAAGTGATCTGACAATAATACCACAGCTACGGGCCTGGGACTTCGACAGGCCGACGCGCCATAACGTACTATAGGTGCAGAAAATACTAGGGCTGTGTAGCTTGCGTCCTGCTACAACTAAACGCAAAACCAAGATCATCTGGAAAAATGCATCCCGACGGCCGACGGTTCCCCCACGCCTTCTGCCAATAATATTGCAGCTACGCACCTGAGGATTTGACAGACAGACGCGGCGCAACCCACTGCACGTTACAGGGATCCGGGTTCCCAAAACGCATGTTCACATCTGTCACAATCTTCGAAAAACCGAGCCCACGTCATCGCACTGGAGCCAGCGGTAAGCCGTCAACCATGGTCACCGGGAACCGGCGGAAAACCGTCGCGCGCTCAGAATACGACCAGCAAGCTTACTTCCCATATCAGCTTAAAACTCGAAACATCCATTGCTGTTACTCGCCCAGCGCTTCCATTCTAACACTGCCGCTACGGGCCTGGGACTTCGACGGACCGAAGCGCCATAACCTACTATGGATGTAGAAAATTCTGGAGCTGTGTAGCTTGCGCCCTGCTAAAGTTAAATGCGCCAAACAGGGGCATCTGGAAAAATGCACCCCGACGGACGACGGTTCCCTCGCGTCTTCTGCCAATAATATTGCAGCTACGGACCTGAGGATTTGACAGACAGACGCGGCACAAACCACAAACCAGTTCACGTCATCAAAAACCGGGTTTCCACAACGAATCTTCAAATCTCTCACAATCTTCGGAAAAACGACCCAGGTTGCAATTGCCAGCCCAAGCCGGGCGGGTCAACACTCCGCGCCGGAATTCCTCTGGCTCATCGATGCTGAAGTCTACGAGGCACGGGAACTCGCACAGCTCCCGAGCGATATACACCAATGGCATGCGAGCGCAGGAAGTGGAACAGGCCGAAGAAGAGAAGGAGGAGCAGAAGGAGCAGCAGGCGGAGAAGGAGGGGACGAAGGAGAGGAGGATGACGAGCAGAAAGAAGGAGAAGGGTGAAGGAAGGGCTCCTCCTCCTTCCCCTCCTTCCCCTTCTCCTCCATATCCTTCTCCCCCCTCCATCCTTGTTATTATCCTCCTCCTCGTCCTCCCCCTTCGTATCCGTCTTCTGCTCCTCTTTCTCCCACTTTCCCTCCTCCTTTGCCTCTTGTTTCTGCTTCTTGACATACTTGTCCCATCTCTTCCTCCTCCCTCCTATTCCTCCTCTTCCTCCTCCATCTACTCCTTCTCGTCCTCGCCCTTCTCTTCTCTCCCTCCTCCTCCTCCTTCTCCTCCTCTTCCTGCTACTTCTACTTACGATTATCACCATCAGCAGAAGGAGGAGAGAAATCCACGCCTATCTAACACTGCAAGAGCCTCAATAGTTTCTTGTTGCAACAGTTCTGGAGCAGACCGATCTCAGCCGTCTAAATGCATTGAACTAGCGCTTCCCAGCCATTTTCTGCTAATTGGCATCTGAGCCCCGCATTCTTGCCTAAAGCTCGAATTAAGTACAGAAAACATGCATTATCTCTCGCCAAATATTGCAGAGTGCTCAGTTGTAGCTCTGCTAGCAAACCAATCTCAGACGTCTCGGTACTAAAGGCGATGGATTTCCTTGAGCAGTGTGCTCCCCAGCTTCGTAGCGTGCCTGTAGCTCCGATAAGAAAAGTACCCTAGTGCGACCCTACCTGGAAGTTGAAGCCCCTGGGAAAGCAGTATCAGTTGCTATGCTAAGCTATGCTAGGTTATGCTATGTTTTTGCTGCGCTCTGCTATGCTTTGCTACACTATGCTATGCTGCGTTATGTTATGATGTGCCATGCGATGCGATGATGTGGAAAGTTATGATGCGTCATGCTGCGCTGTACTATGCTAAGCTATGCTATGCTATGTTATGCATGTTAAGCTGCGCTATGCTATGCCATGATATGCTATGCTATGCTATGCTATGATATGCTCTGCTATGCTGCGCTATGCTATGCTATGCTGTGCCTACAGTTGAGTTCAAGCCCCCAGGAGAGCACCAGGAGGCGAAAGAAACAGAAAAGAAGGACGCGGCCGACCCCAACTGGGCGCAGGCGCCGCCTGTCCGACAGGGCGCAGACACCCTGGGGGCCGGTTTTCTGATGATGTCCCACCCAAGGGCGCCGGTGTCGAATCGTTGCCGGATTTGCCGGATTTCTCTGATCTCCAGCCGGGGGTCAGGATAAGGTGAGTTCCACAGAAACTTCCTTAAACAACGCGATGCCCAACACTGGGAGCCGGCGGTAAGCCGTCAACCTTGGTTTTTGAGTTTGAGTCAGGGCGCGGACAGCTGTGTCAGCTGAACCCTAAGACTCCCAAACGGAGCACAGGGTAGCAAGTGAGTGCATCTCTTATCATCACACTGCCGAGCCACGGAGACATAGGCATCGGAATAAGATGCAGGAAGAAAGAAAGAAAGCATCTCTTATCTTCACACTGCCGAGCCACGGAGGCGTAGGCATTGGAATAAGATGCAAGAATATTGAGTGAACAAAAAACGGGCCCAAGCAAATGTGAAATGAGGCAGCTGTCTGGATGAAGGAGGCTACCCAAAACGTGTTCCACGGCCATACAGAGAGGTTCTGCTGCAATCATCTCACAGAACATGACAGAAGCAGAGGCATGGAGCGAGAATGCTTCTTCCGCCACCAACTGCCACGTCCCGTGCACACACAGATCTATACACCATCCTGCAGCACATCCCTCCACAGAGCGCCCTCCGTCGAAGAATCCACGAAGGCCATCTAGTTTTGTTTTACTCGCATATTCAATAAGAGACGTATGGAACGCAACGTAACTATTTTTGGTTCTGGCCAACCATGTCAGCCTATCAACTCTTTCATTCCCTTCTCGATAGATCCATTCGAACAGATTGTGACCCCAGCTAGGAGGCCTCATTCCAAAAGATACAGAGATTTGCTCCAGCCTATTTTGGATGTCGCCCATAATGTGTGGGTAGATAATATTGGATGTCGTCCAGAGACCGTTAATCCAATTCACGCCCGTGGAGGAGTCACCAATCAGTTCCATTGGTATCGAGTCCCGCGGCTCCACAATCCACTCCGATGCATGTTCAAATATGTATGCAATGCGTTTCGCGTTCTTCTCCTCCTCCTTCCTTTGCTGCTCCTCCGTCTTTTCCCTCTCCTCCACCTCACCCACATTACCTGCAGGTTGTGCACGTTTGCAACAACAGTACCCCCATGCCTCCTCCATGCTAGTGACTTCCAGTGCCCGCTTCAGATATGCCTTCCAGCCCTGACGTGAAAAGGATAACGTGTGATACCAATCCTTCCCTCCCACCAACTCGAAAATATAGTGGCAGCTTCTCAACGCCAGTGGTCCCCCCCCCCCTCATGTCGACGTGTAAGCAACGGCCGATCTTTACAAGGCAACGAAGCAATGAAAGCCTGCCGTCGGTAGGTCCACTCCCCAGACCAAGCAAAGATACTTTCTCTCGCCTGCATGTGCGAGTCCCCCGTGCTACGAAGATGAGGTGCAGCGACACGTCGCCGCTTGTTCGCAGCGATTTCCTGCGACGGCAGCTCTACAGGGGAACACGTTTTCGACAGAGAATCCTGACCAGCAGTAGGGCAATGGGAGGTCTTGGCACGCTTCTGCATCTGGGATATCAAATTACGCCGATGTGCTGGTATCTGAGTCTGAGAACAACCAGGAAGGTCCAAATGATCAACTGCCTGCATCGTCTCGCTCACACGAGGCTCACTTCCCATTGATGCCGAGATATCAAGGTCAGATAACACATCCATGGGCTCATTCAGACGTCGTCTCTTGGACGGGGGTGGCTCGCTTGCTGCAAACACGTTAGTGCCAAGTTTGTTCCCATAATCAAAGGTACCTGGAGGAATATGAGCGGGTGCTGGGTTCAAGCGTTGCACGGCAAACGTACAATCTTGAGCCCACTGCCACTGACGAAACAAGAATAGTTGTACAAGGGATGGCCGGCCCAACTCCATGAGCATACGCCTCCCACGATGGTACAAGTTACAATAGTATAGACTCCAATCCATGCTGGCAGGTTTCGGGCGGCGTACCATACAACACAGAATGTTACCTTCCCGCGTGTGCAACTGTTTCAAGGTGTGATGGTCCGCTGCCATTCCCTCGACGCCGTAAAACACAAAGCTGCGCAGCCGAGATTCATAGTGCTTGATGTTCTTCTGGAAAGGAACGGTACGATTCGTAAAAAAACTTTCGGAACTGATTAAACCGCTTCCAGCCCCGAGCTAACTTCCAAGCAACATCATGGTGTTGTTCTATCTTGGTCGTCACAAGGCAACCCAGGCACTCCATTTCGGATCGTCGTGGAAGACACAGGGCAACGACATCACTCACCTGGACATCAAGGTTCCCAGACAAGGCGCCCGCGGAGTCCCCCCCGAAAGCAAGATAGAGTAGTGAGGAATAGTTCCATCGAAAGCCGTGTGTGTAGAGCTGAGCCGAGAAGTCTCCCGCCATGCGAGCGAGCTCGACCTTGGATTTCGAGAAAAGTAAAATGTTGCCAGCCCAAAGTGCGTGAGTAAGATACCTCCCACCAGCCTCCTCCCCCAAGTCGTACCCCAGTTTCTCCTCCTCCCAATTCTGTACCACCTTATCCCACATCAACAGGGTCATCCACTTCCACAGGAAGGGGCCCTCCACACTGCCAGATCGCACGCACGTGTCCCAGGGAATACCCGTCGCCGTCGAGTCCTGGAAGGTAAAGCCCGCTGTGTCCTGGATACTGGGAGCGAGCAACGCCAACGCCAGATAATTGGGAAACCCAGGGATGGCATCCAAAGCCCGACTGGCCTTTTCCACCGTGACGTTATCAAATGCTGTCTGCACATCGAGCGCCGCAAGGTGCAGGGTCCCATCTTTACCCCACTCAAGAGAATGTGTAGTGACGTGCTTAAGCGTGGCAGTGATCTCGCGCGTGCGTCTTCCCTTACAAAATCCACAGTTATGCAAATATTGCGGAACCCGATCCAGATAACCTTCAGCAATCTCGACCAAACATGATGTATACCATGTGCTTAGGCTGCTAAGTAAAACAAGAGCACGAGTATCCGACAATTTAGTGAGATCCTTAGCTTTCGGCATCAATACAACAATCAAGTCTGACCAAATCCGAGGGGCAGGGTACCGTTGAAGATAGAGCTCCTGGAATAACCGAAGGATGTGACGCAAGCCTACCCACGTGATACGTTTCAGCATAGAAGGGGAGACTCCATCCCTACCCACCGCCTTTCCACATCTTAAGCGAGATCGTGCCTGCAACAGTACTGACATGGAGATGGGGGACACGACCTGGGAGTTCATGTCCTGCAACCTCCTCCTCCTCCTCTCTTCAATGCACGCCACGTTTCGTATCCCCTGCGCAACACAATGGTATATGCTAAATCCGTGAGCATAGAGCGCCTTCTCCCTCAACTCCCTATCTTCCGTGACCACTTTATCAAAACTCAACTTGTCCACCACCGTCCGAGTTAGTTTCCCGTCACGATGATCATATTCGAGTCGACGACGAGTGTGTGCACGCATCTCTTTCCTTCGCTCCTTCTTAACCCCCATGAGCTCCTCCTCCTTCCCTCCTTCACGACGCAGTCGGCGATGTGCATCATCAAGTTCCTTATGGCGATCTGTCTTCTTGGGGATCTGCATTTTCTTTGGGGCACTGGCATAAGACTCCTTATGCTGTGTGCATGCCTCCAAGATCGCAGGCGCCAAGTCGTCCGGGCAGAGGCCAGGTGGGCACCGAGCTGCAGCACGCAAACGACGATCAAGATTTGCCGAGACTTTCAATTCTGAGGCCTCCTCGCAGCACCAATGTGTGGACGTCTGTCGCGGTTTCGTTCTCCATCGTCGAGTCGGAGCGGCCGACTCAGGGACAAGCAAGGCGAGTAGGGCATGGTCCGACAAACGAGTCCTTCGGGGGCCCACGGAACCCTTAAGAGTAGGCCTCAACCACGACACCTCCCACTGAGGCCTTTCCCAAGAACTCGGAATACACAGGTCATTCAGAACCTTGTCCTCCTCCTCCGTCTCCTCCCTAGCCTTCCAGGTCGCACGACGAGTCCCACAAGAGTTGGAGAAAAACCAAACCATAGCGCCACATACATTCGCAGAGCTCGTCACACATGTGCTGCTGCATCCTCCTCCTACCCTGCTGACAGCCTCCACGTCCACCTCCTCCTGCATTGTCCCCTTCTTCGACTCTCTCACCCTGAACAGCAGAACCAGTCAGAGCCACATCCCCGAAGATCGTATCAGGAAGAAGCTCAACGTTGGCATCCATCCCGACCATCAAGTCCCACCCTCATTCGGGAAACCTGAGTCGAAGTGCACCCAAGTCTTTTCGAAACGACTGCAAAGTATGTGTGAATAAGATGTTGTGATCTCCTCTTTTTGGCGCATGTGGTAAGTACAAGCTGGCAACCATCAACGACTGAAACACGATAATGACATAACGAGTACCCCTGATGCATTCACGAATGGAGGCTCTCCACACCCTCTTGTAGAGAACCCCCGCCTTCCCATCATTTGAAAGAGTTAATGTGAAGCCATGCTCAGAGCACCTACCTATTCCAAGGAACTGGCACTCCTGCAAAGCGAGAACTTCCGAATTCGAGGTCTTGATCTGGGCAAGCATGTCGTGGCTGTTCCCCCAACCACAGCGCCGCACGTTGTCCGTGCCCACGATGGCGCCGTGGCACCTTCACCAGGAACGAAAGTTGAGCTTGGCCTGGAAGGCCTCGCAATCCAACTTATCATCGACCTTCCGCATCAGCTCAGCATCCACCTTCCACCCCAAGTTAGGATCAAAAGCGGCAATGCACACTCCATCCGTCTTAGGCGTCGTGGCCGAGGGATAGCCCCACACGTAGCTGATAGGAGGACCCATCTCACCCATCAGCCACTGGGAGCCACTCCTGAGAGTAGCAAAGATAGCTTGGCAACGACCCAAAGCAGAAACATCCGGCTGCTTCCAAGGCGCTGGTTCACAGGAGAGGCCGAGACGCTTGTTTCCCAAGGGGTAATCTGCTTCAAATAATGCGTATCATTACCGATCTCCGTGGCCCAGGAATGGCGGATTTCCCATATCTCATCATTCGTAAACTTCCCATCCTGAACATAGAAGCGGATCCGATACAGTCCATAGGGTTTGTTTGTGTGCTCCCGCTCGATCCTAGTCACGCCGAAATGCTCGTCAGTCATCTTCCTGGTGCCACGAACAAACTTACGAATAACAAGCAGAGCAAGTTCTCAAGAGAGCATGTCTGTTAAACGGGTCTTGAGGTTACCGACTCCACCTCGAGCCCAACCTGTGAGTTGCATGAAGGTCGGCGTGAAGTCCTCCCGCACCCATTCCATTCACGAACTGGCGTACGATTACCATACCTGGGAGCAGTGGCCCTGGCAGAGGAGCCCGCTGGGCCCGCATAATTACTCCAAGCATCCGTGGAACCTGATCCCGCATCACTGGGTGGACCCTTCTGCTGAAGCGAACGGATCTGCTGCTGCATAGCTGCAATATCAGCCCCATTATTTTCACCACGCTGGTCGATCCGTTTGACATCCTGCTCAATCCGTGAAATTCTTTTCTTCTGAGTGTTCTGTTTAGCTAGCATCGCTTTCATCATGGCAAATTGTTGCTTCATGAGATTGCCGTCATCAAATTCCCCGAACTGCTCCTCCTCCTCACCGCTTGCCTGAATCATATCCTCATCCTCGCCCTCAGCCTTACTCTTTTTTGGAACGGGGCTCACCTGCTGGCTCCTGCTGAGACATAGCCGCAAACGTGACGGTGTTCGAATACTTGAAATCCTCTGGAAACCCCCACTGCTCCAAGAAATTGATGTCCTCACGCGAACGCTTGTGTTCTGTCGCCGTGACGAGAATTCTATCCACAAGTAAAGTACAGCAAAGTCACCTTCCTGAAAAAAACTGGATACGCTGATCTCGGAGCCTTGAAGGAACTGTAAGAGGCAATCCAAGAATATGCAGCGAAACTGAGAACAACACGGGGATGCAGATGTGCAGCACAATCAAGCAGAGATACAACGATGGATACGTGCTGACCTGGAAGAGCACGCCGATGGAGCACTTGTCGCAGCTGTGCGACAGATGGCCCCGCGCGCCCCGCGGATACAGCACGATACACGAGTGAAAGCACCTTCCGCACAATGCGGTTCGAACCGCCCGAGGAAGCCCCCGAGCCCCGGCGGCAACCTTGGTTTTTGAGTTTGAGCCAGGGCGCGGACAGCTGTGTCAGCTGAACCCTAAGACTCCCAAACGGAGCACAGGGTAGCAAGTGCAAGCAACTCTTATCATCACACTGCCGAGCCACGGAGGCATAGGCATCGGAATAGGATGCAGGAAGAAAGAAAAGCATGTCTTATCTTCACACTGCCGAGACACGGAGGCGTAGGCATAGGAAAAAGATGCAAGATTATTAGAGTGAAAAGCAAATCCAAGCAAAGATGCAGTGAGCCAGCTGCTTGGATGAAAGAGGCTACCCAAAATGTGTTCCACGGCCATACAGAGTCGTTGTGCTGCAATCATCTCACAGAACATGACAGAAGCAGAGGCATCAAGTGAAAGCTTCCTCCGCCACCAACTGCCACGCCCCGTGCACACACAAGTCTATACACCATCCTGCAGCACATCCCTCCACAGAGCGACCTCCGTCGAAGAATCCACGGAGGCCGTCTAGTTTTGTTTTACTCGCATGTTCAATAAGAGAGGTATGGAACGTAACGTAACTATTTCTGGTTCTGGCCAACCATGTCAGCCTGTCAGCTCTTTCGTTTCCTTCGCGATAGATCCACTTGAACATATTGTGGCCCCAACTCGGAGGCCTCATACCTTACAACACAGAGATATGCTCCAGCCTGTCTTGAATGTCGCCGAGAATGTGTTTGTAGATAATATTGGATGTTGCCCAGAGACCGAAAATCCAATTCACCCCTGTGGAGGAGTCACCAATCAACTCCATCGGCATTGAACCCCGAGGCTCCGCATTCCACTCCGATGCATGTTCATTTATGTACGCAAGTCGTTTCGCCTTCTTCTCCTCCTCCTTTCTTTGCTGCTCCTCCGTCTTCTCCCTCTCCTCCTCCTCCCGAACATATCCCGCAGGTTGTGCATGTTTGAAATAACAGTACCTCCATGCCTCATCCATGTTAGAAACTTCCAGTGCCCGCTTCAGAAAATCGTTTTACCCCTGACGTGAAAAGGATAAGGTATGATACCAATCCTTCCCTGACACCAACTCGAAAATGCAATGAAAGTTTATCAACGCCAGTGGTCTCCCCCCCTCATGTCGACGCGTCATTAATGGGCGATCTTTACAAGGCAATGATGCAATGAAGGCCTGCTGTCGGTAAGTCCACCACTCCCCCGAACATGCAAAGATACACTCTCTAGCCTGCATATGCGAGCCCCCTGTGCTACGATGATGAGGTGGAGCCACGCGTCGCCGCTTGTTCGCAGCGATTTCCTGCGACGGGAGCTCAACAGAGGAACGCTTTTGCGACAAAGAATCCTAAGCAACAGCAGGGCAATGGGATGTCTTTGCACGCTTATGCATTTGGGAAATCAGATTGCGCCGATGCGCGGGAAATTGTGCCTGAGAACAACCAGGGAGCTCAAAAGAATCAACTGCATGCATCGTCTCACACACACCAGGACCACTTCCCATTGATGCCGAGCTCACAATATCTGGCAACACGTACATGGGTTCATCCTGACGTTGTCTCTTGGCCGGCGAGGGCCAAGTTTATCTGAAGAATCGAATGTACATGGAGGAATCAGCGCGGGCGTTGGGTTCAGGCGTTTCACAGCAAACGTACAGTCCTGAGCCCACTGCCACTGACGACACAAGAGTAGTTGCACAAGAGACGGTCGTCCCAATTCCAGGAGCATACGCCGCCCACGTTGGTACAAGTTACAGTAGTATAGACTCCAATCCATGTTGGCAGGTTTCGGGCGACGTACCATGGAACACAATATATTACCTTCCCTCGTGTGCAACTGTTTCAAGGTGTGATGGTCCGCTGGCATGCCTTCGACGCCGAAAGGTACAAAGCTACGCAACCTAGATTCATAATGCTTGATTTTCTTCTGGATGCGTACAGCACGATTCGTATAAAACTTGCGGAACTGATTAAATCGCTTCCAACCCCGAGCCAATTTCCAAGCCACATCATGGTGTTTGTCAATCTTGGTCGTGACAAGGCAACCCAGGCACTCCATTTCAGAGCATCGCGGAAGACACAAGGTACCGAGATCGTTCACGTGGACAACGAAGTTCCCCGTCGAGGCTCCTTCAGAGCCCTCCCAAAGAGCAAGATAAAGTAGTGAGGAACCTTTCCATTTGAAACCGTGCGTGTAAAGCTGAGCCGAGAAGTCCCCCACCATACGTGCGAGCTCAATCTTGGATTTCGAGAAAAGCAAAAGGTAATCGGCCCAGAGTGCGCGAGTAAGATACCTCCCACCAGCCTCTTCCCCCAAGTCGTACCCCAGCTTCTCCTCATCCCACTTCAGTACCATATTATCCCACATGAGTAGAGTCATACACTTCCACAGGAAGGGGGCCTCCACACTGCCAGTACGCACACATACGTCCCAGGGAATACCCGTCGCCGTGGAGTCCTGGAAGGTACAGTCCGCTGTGTCCAGGATACTGGGAGCGAGCAGCGCCAACGCAAGGTCATTAGGAAACCCAGGGATGGCATCCAAGGCCCGACTGGCCTTCTCAACCGTGACGTTATCAAAAGCAGTCTGCACATCTAGTGCCGCGAGGTGCAGTGTCTCATCTGTCCCCCACTCCAGAGCGTGTGTGGTGACGTGCTTAAGCATGGCAGTGATATCGTGCGTGCGTCTTCCCTTGCAAAATCCGTAATTATGTAGATATTGTGAAACCCTTTTTAGATAACCTTCGGCAATCTCAACCAAACATGAAGTATACCATTTGCTTAGGCTGCTCAGTAAGACGAGAGCTCGAGTATCAGACAACTTAGTGATATCTTTAGCTTTCGGCATCAACACCACAAGCAACTCAGACCAAATCCGAGGAGTAGGGTACCGTTGAAGATACAGGTCCTGGAATAACCGAAGAATATGACGCAAGCCTACCCACGTGATACGTTTCAACATAGAAGGGGAAACTCCATCCTTACCCACCGCCTTACCACACTTTAAGCGTGATCGTGCCTGCAACAATACGGACATGGAAATGGGGGAGACGGCCTGAGGGTTCGTGTCCTGCAACCTCCTCCTCCTCCTCCTCTCCTCAATACACTCCACGTTTCGTATCCCTTGCGCAGCACAGTGGTACTTGCCGAATCCGTGAGCACAGAGCGCATTCTCCCACAACTCCCTATCCTCTGTGAGCACATTGTCATAACTCAATGTGTCCACCACCGTCCGAGTGAGCTTCCCGTCACGATGATCGTATTCGAGTCGACGACGAGTGTGTGCACGCATCTCCTTCCTTCGCTCCTTCTTAACCCTCATGAGCTCATCCTCCTCTCCTCCTTCACGGCGCAGTCGGCGATATTCATCACCAAGTTCCTTATGACGATCTGTCTTTTTGGGGATCTGCATTTTCTTTGGGACATTGGTGTATGACTCCTTGTCCTGTGTACATGCATCCAAGATAACAGGAGCCAATTCATCCGGGCAGAGACCAGATGGGTAACGAGCTGCAGCGTGCAAACGACGATCAAGGTTAGCCGAAACTTGCAATTCCGAGGCCTCGTCGCAGCACCAATGAGTGAACGTCTGTCGTGGCTTCGTTCTCCAACGTCGAGTCGGAGCGGCCGATTCGGGGACAAGCAAGGTGAGCAGGGCATGGTCCGACAGGCGGGTCTTTCTGGGGTCCACGGAGCCCCTGAGTGTTGGCCTTAACCACGACACCTCCCACTGAGGCCTTTCCCAGGAGCTCGGAATACACAGGTAATCAAGAACCTTGTCCTCCTCCTCCGTCTCCTCCTGGCCTTCCAGGTCGCACGACGGGCCCCAAAAGAATTCGAGAAAACCAAACCATAATGCCACATACATTCACAGAGCTCGTCACACATGTATTGTTGCATCCTCCTCCTACCCTGCTGGAAACCTCCACGTCCACCTCCTCCTGCATTGCCCCCTTCTTCAAATCTCTCACCCTGTACTGCAGAACCAGTCAAAGCAACATCTCCAAAGACCGTGTGAGGCAGAAGCTCAACGTTGGCATCCATCCCGATCAACAAGTCCCACCCTTCCTTGGGAAACCTAACTCGGAGCGTATCCAAATCCTTTCGAAACGACTGCAATGTTTGTGTGAATAAGATATTGTGATCCCCTTTTTTCGGCGCATGTGGTAAGTACAAGCTGGCAACAATCAACGACTGAAACACGAGAATGACATAACGATTACCCCTGATGCATTCACGTATGGAGGCTCTCCACACCCTCTTGTAGAGAACCCCCGCCTTCCCATCATAGAAAGAGTTAAAGTGAAACCATGTTCAGAGCACCTACCTACACCAAGGTTTTGGCACTCCTGCAAAGCGAGAACTTCCGAATTCGAGGTCTTGATCTGAGCAAGCAAGTCGTGGCTGTTCATGCTGCCACAGCGCCTCACGTTATACGTGCCCACGATGGCGCCATGGCACCTTCACCAGGTACGAAAGTTGAGCTTGGCCTGGAAGGCCTCGCAATCCAACTTGTCATCGACCTTACGCAGCAGCTCGGCATCAACCTTCCACCCCAAGTTAGGATCAAAAGCGG